TCAAAGCTGAGTCCTAGGGGACTGCGATGGGCGATGGGCGGGGCAGTGAGGTGGGGCTGGAAGACAGGGTCGGGGCAGGGTGCCCAAAGATTTGTGGGAGAGGTGGGGCTCCAGCAGCCTCCCCAAACCTCCACCCTCTCCTCTGAGCCCGGAGGTTCCCTCCTCACACTGACCCTGCTGCAGGATGCGCCCAAAGGCCTTGCTGTGGCTCGAGCAGTTCCAGCGGCGGAAACGGAACTGGAACTGGCACTCTCGAACCCCAAGCCGGGCACCCCGCGCCAGCTCAGCCACCACTTCCGGCTCCTCCTGGCACAACTCAGCCTGCCGCCCTGCCAGCCTCCGTGCTTTCCTGCAGATACTGGTGGGGTCCATGACCAAGGGGCTGCCCACTGCCCTGGGAAGCAAAACACAGCAAGTCAGGGGTGTAACTCCAAGGGTTGGGGGTGACCCCCACCCCCCTCAGCCCACAGCCCAGGAGCCGGGATACGCCTCCCACCACCACCAACTAACATTGAGATTCTCCTATCTGGTTCCCCTGCCATTCCATCCATGTCTGTGTTCCCTTTTAACTAGAGTCTGATCACTGTAGAGCAAGAATTCAATCTTGTCTTTCTATGCACATTTTTACTAATAAATCCTTATATAATTTGACTCAAGGTGAAGGCAGCTGGCAGCAGGTAGGCCAAGACTAAAATTCAACAGGCCTCGCCCAAAGGGAGACAAGGAAGAAATTAACAGAAGGGAGATCAAGAAGGTTGTCAAAGAAAAGAAAAAGATTTTAGAAAAAGATCAGAAAAGAACTGGTCTTAGTGGACCACAAGCTGGATATGTGTCAGCTGAACAGTCCTGATGCTAGAAAGGCATGGGCAATTCCAAGGACTATAGAAAGCCATCTGATGTTAGAATGGCTGGGGAATGGAGCCTCTGCGGGAAGTTACACTCCCTCTCCAGCCCAAGTTTCTCATTCTGTACAATGGGAAGGATGGGCTTTGGTCTCTAAGGTGGGCCCTCCCACCCTGAGATCCTCTGTTTCCCTGAATTGGGGAGCAGGAAGAAGGAGCTGGGGGCTGAGTCTCTGAAGCACTGAGAAGCAGGTGAAGTGACCCTTCTCCTACTCCAGGAACTGTGGCCTTTGCAGAGCAGCAGGGCAGCAAGCCAAGCCCTGTGCACTGGGGTGACATAACTGATTGGAGAAGGGGGACCCTGAGAGGTGGGTAAAGACCTCATGGGAAGCTCCACACACTTTCAGAAATCCCTCCATTCCCACCACCATGCTGGCTCCCACACACATTCCTAGCCTTCATTCTACCATGTGGTCTCCATACCAGGCCCATGAAGGTTGACTTGCCTGGGTATTCACACCTGGGTGAAAGGGCTTTCATCAGATTGCTCTTATTTGAATGCTTAACTGGTATGCCTGTCTTGTAGGAATGAGTGAGTCGAGCACTTGGGAGCTGAGGGTAATTTGAGACCACTCAGAAACCCTTCACAGAGGGCAGAAAAAGGCTCTCTGGGCGGGGAGAGAAAAGTGGCATCAGGAAATAGAAAATGTAGAGGAAAATGGTGGTAGATAGGTGCCAAAGGTCAAGGTGGCCTCTTTTCAGTTTAGCTTCAGTGTACTCCACCCCCACTGTCCCCATTTGCTCCACAAGTACAGGCTTCCCAGGCATGTTCTGGCCCAACAACAATGAAATGTAATGGGCTTAAATAGCAGCAAGAGGAATTTAGGTCTTAAGATAGAACTTAACACTAAGGAGTGAGATGCTTGAAGAGGAGGTGGTTGCAGGAAGATGTGTAAGTCCTTTAAGGTCACACACACACACACACCGCCCGACAGATCATTGTTATCATCCTTTTCCAAGTAGTCCAGAAGCCAGCGTTCTCTCCTCAGTGGAGAGACTTATAGTCCAGACCAGCGATTTTTCAACCTGTGTGCCGTAAGAATTTTTAAAACATGCAATACCTGACTATTGAGCCGTAACACTGACCTCTTTTCCCTTAGATTATTAAACAAACAAACAAACAAAAAAATGACAACAGCCAACACAACAATAGTTGTCTGGTGTGAATGAATCAAAATTATACTTAATTTTTTGGGTCAGATTGACACATTTTTGGTGTGCTGCAGAACTTTAGTAATTAGTTTATGTGTGCCATGAGATGAAAAAGGTTGAAAATCGCTGGTCCAGACCTTCCCTCCTCCATGCTTAGGACCTGCCCATCACTGCATTCTAACTGTAGCCTGGGAAGGTCTAGCCCCAATCCTTTCCCAACTCTAGAGAAGTGATGGATGGAGCAGGCCAAGGGTAAGGCTGCCAAGCTGGCTCCCAGTGGCTCAGTGGCCTTCAAGAATTTTAGGTGCTTCAAGAATTGATTTCTACTGCCCAGTGTGGCTCAGTGGTTGAGTGTTGACCCATGAACCAGGAGGTCACAGTTTGATTCCTGATCAGGGCACATGCCTGGGTTGTAGGCTCGAATCCCCAGTGTGAGGCGTGTTTCTATCTCTCTCTTCCATCATCTCTGAAATCCATAAAAACATTTTTTTAATTTTAAAAAGAGTTGACCTCTATCTATTTAACTATTTATCCTCACCTCCAGCCATTTATTTCACCTCATTACAAAAAGAATTTGAGGCAGCTTCCAGTAAGGTCATATAGGGTCAGCAGATAAGACTATAAGCACCTTGAGAGCTAGAAGCGTCATTTTCTTTTGTCTCCTAGGCAGATTTTAAGGTGCTTAATTCATATTTCCCCTAGATTTTAATGAAAATTTTGCATATTACGAACAATTACTATAATAATACAATGAAAACCATTTAATACATGTTTTTGAATGAATAAATGAGCCATCTAAGGAGAAAAATCCTTACTTGAGCCCAGCCCCTGTCCACATGTCATTTCATGACTCCTAATTGCTTTCCGTAAACATTTTATTTCTCCCACTGGATTCAGAGGCAGGGAAGCAGGCCTCCCCAGGCTGTCCAGGTCCTCTCCTGCCACCACATGTCCAGACCTCTACACACTCAACACTCCCCCATGCTACTAAGTTCCCCAGTTCTCCTCCCCAGCCCTGTCCTCTGCGAACTCCCTACTTTCCCAAGGTCGACTGGCCTTATCTTCCCAAGGTTACTCTGCCCCATCCCTCTCTTCTCCCTCCTCCTGTCCCAGGGGATGGAGGGGTATGCAGGGGAGAAAGGCAGAAATCTCTTGACCTTATCTGTTTCCCAGGAGCTAGAGATAGAAGACTCAGAAGGATTCCTGGCTGCCTGGGAACTAGACTTGTTTACAAGCTGGTCAGGAGAAGGGATGGGCAGTAGTAGCAGCCAGAATCCCAAGGGACCAGTTTGCTCCCTGCCCTCCTGTTCTTGCTCCCATCCTAAAGTCACAGGAAAGGGAACTCCGGAAAATGAGTGGCAGGGCAGCATTGGGCAAAACACCAAGCCTCGCTTCAATACCCTGGTCTCTGTCAGCTCTGGGTGAGCTGAGCCATTCTGGGCAAGTCGGTTCCCTCTCTGGGTTTCAGAAACATGAGGAGCTAGCATGAAAGGCTCGCATACCCCCTCTAACTTTAACACTTGACTCCACATCAAAAAATAACTCCCCCATCTCTCCTCTTCCTTTACCCTCCTTCCTTCCCTTCTGCTTCCTTAGGGAATGAACTCTGCTATTCATGCTCTGAGTCAGCATTGTCCTGGGATCAGCCCACAGAAGCTGTGCCCGTTTGGGAACATCTGCATGTTTTGGGGGCTGGAACACAAGGCGGTAAGAAATATGTAATATAGAATATGTAGGGTCTGTGATCCTAATCAAGTAGACATTCCTGGGCATAGAAACAATGAGGCTAGTTTTAAAAGAAATCAGTATGCAGACAAGAAGGGACAAGCCTAGGGTTAGCCATTCTAACTGGCTTGGCCTGCGCCAAAATCTTTCTCCCAGGGCACAACATCTGTAGATCCCGCTCTAGGGGCCCGGGTTCTGGCCTGTTCTACCTTTCCTTTCCCAGATTCACAGGGCCTAAGAGAATGCCCAAGGTCATGCAGTCCAGCTCCACCAACCTGACCTCCACTATACAGATGCACAATCTGAGAAGGGAGGTGACCAATACTGACCACTCAGTGTGTGTGTGTGTGTGGGGGGGGTCTCATTGCAAGAAAGTTAGGTAAATATTTTAAAAACCAAAGGGCCAGAGGGAAACGGCCACCAAAGGTATCGGAAGACCTTAGGTAGCCTCACATACCACCCTCCATACAGCCCTTACTCCTAGCAGGATTGGGAAACTCTGCAGCCATCCCAGATTCTACTGCTAAATTTCCGGATTCAGAGCCAGCCCCTCCATACCCCCTAAGTCATGAAAATCTTCCCCAACATCTCTCCAAGCTCACCTTAGATACCACTTGCCCTAAGGTGCCTCCTCTGGGCCCCATGCCTCCCTCTACATCATTCTGCCTGTCACTCACTTGGGGGAGAAGGGCAGGTGCTTGTTATCCTGCCAGTGGCATAAGTATTTTGTCCTGTTGTCTTGTCTGTCTCTCCAATTAGATAGCAAACTCATTAAAGACAAAGATCTCATGAGGAAGCATAATATCAGTGGCAGAGTACATGCGGGCTTTGGGGATCCAGCAGACATGGGGTTGGATCTGGGCTCTGCTGCTTGCTCATTCTGTGACGTGGAGCAAATCCCTAGCATGTGAAGTTGGCATTTAGTATTTGCTGAATGGCTGCTGAGACTTAACCTTCTGAGCCAGTTTCTGCAACTGTGAAATGGAAGCAAATAGTAACACCTGCCCACTTCCCAGGTGACCTGTGAAAAGAGCCTGTCCAGAGAGTGGGCTTCCACGAGTGATTTTTGTTTTGCCACTCACACCCTTATTTATCTCTTGGCCTGCTCAGTGCAGGGCAAACAGTAGGAGAGCAGGCGGTGTCTGTGGATTCCTGAGAACTCTCTCTTCTCCAACTTACACTTCTTAGCCTGTGTCTCCTCTCCTACCAGCCCTGCCCATGGACCAGAGGACCCTCCAGGACTCCCACCCCCTTCCCCGATGAGCACTCCTGGGTGGATTTTTGAGGCCAAGGGGATCACAGACCCATTTGATGCCCAGCCTCCTCTGAAAGGTCTCACAGCCAGCTCTCTATTTTCTCTAC